TTTTTKATACAAGTCTGTATTGCATGGTTCGATACATGTATTGTTGCACCCCTAGTWCATAATATAATGCTACAAATTGATCAATAACTTTTATTAGCAATTTATACTTTTAAAACATTCATAAGTTGTCTAAAATGTTACAGCATGACAGGGCCTTCACTAAAGAAAACGTCTCCTTAAAGACAAAATAAAATGTTTATAAGTTTTATTTTGGTTGTATACACTGGATTAAACATAACAGAACCAAAAAATATATATAAAACACAAATAATAGCTACAACCTTTGGTGAATTATRAATTCTGTAATTATGATTACTTTAATGTTGATGCAAAATGCCTGAACTCATGTAAAAACAGTTTGTTGGAAATGTTTATTAAATTGGAGACCATTTTTAAAACCTCTGCAAAACTGAAAACATTTACATACAGTACCTACTGTGTGGTTTTGTAAAGTTTAAACAGTTTMGACATTTTTTCATCCCAAATACATAAAGCTGTATAACAATATGTTACAATAATGAGTGTTTCATGAATATAAATAACTCGAGTCGACAACGATGAAAGCTACAAAAAGTCTGTTAAATATAATCTTTTTACAAGAACATTCAGCMGGCAATAATTCCTAATTTTAAAAATGAAACATTGCAAAAATAATTGCAGTTAGCTTGTWTTTCCTTTGGTCGGTGGTGCTGGTGAGGAATTCTGTTATTCAGCAGCTCCCATATTTTCCTGACTACATTTTAACAGATCCAAGGATGTGTTCTGGTGGGAAAAGAGTTTTCCTATTTGCCCCAAACCCAAAACATTCACTTGTCAGATCTTATTTACAAATCATTTCACTAAAACCTGGTTTTYCAGCCTCTTGAAAAAACACGTTCTCTTCCTCGGCAGATTACTCCACATCATGTTCTTCATCATCCTCCATCCCTGGTAGGTCTTTCTCCGGCAGCAGGCCGTAGCTGTTGAGGAAGGCCTCGACATCTGTCGCGAAGAACTCCTCGTTTAGGTGCTTGGTGCAGGACAGGAAGTTACCCAGCAGCTCTCCGGCCTTGTACACCAACAGCGTCGGTAAGTACTCGTCAGAGAAACGCTCGGCAGCGCCAGACGAGACAGCGTCGATCCTGCAGAACTTTACRGTCGGGTACTCAGTGGCCAAGCAGTCCAGGCAGCTGTTCAGCTGCTCGCATCCTTTCACTCCCATTTTGTAAATGTGGACAACCACCACGGTGGTGTGATGCTCCTTCTCGATRACTTCCAGGAACGCCTCCCCGCTGTCCAGCTCGTGGACGCCTTCAAACTTGGGCCCGAAGCTGAGCTTGTTGTGCATCTCCTCCATGCATTGTCTTCTGTACTTTTTAAGACAGCCTTCATCCTCCTCCTTCAGCAGTTCATACTCTTGAACACTCATCTGAGAAAAAAAAAAAGAAACAAAACAACAGTTTGTGCACACAATTCTTCACACAGAGGGAACTTTCTGCTGGGTTCTACCTTGCGGTTAAGGTTCGCCCTTGTGTCATCCTTGGACTTGTTTGGGGACGACATTTGTCTCAGCAGTTCTTTTTTTGCAGGAGGCAGATTTTCCCGGTCCATACTTTCCAACTTAAACCTCCTCCAGTCGTTAATGACCCCCTTTGGACCTACGGAGAAACGACAAAAGTGGTGCATATCAGCTGTTTAACCAGGGTCAAACACCATTAATTTAGAAATGGAAACTCTAACTTCCAATTGGTATATTTTTCTAGTCCATTAATCACAATCAAAACCAGAATACTCTGTTGATCCTGGAGGGAAATAACAACTATTACAGCTGCAGCCATTCATATAAAAATAAAGTATAAAAGACGAGCACACTAGCATAAAATAAAGTGTAAACACTTTGGAAAAAAGTAAAAATAAACACGTAWATTGTAAAAACTGTCCATCTAACCAARTCTTTGAGACTGATTTACTAAACAAGAGCAGGATGTGTAAGATTAATAAWCTTGTTAGCCTGGAAATTTGACTCAAATGAAGTGAAATAATCTGCCAATGGAGTAAGACAATTGCACTTAAGATTTTTGAAATCACTTAATTTGACTCAAATTGTTCTTATTTTAAGACTCTTACATCTTCAAACGTACTGTGAATAGACAGTATAAAATAGAAATATAAACAAAACTGTATCAGGTGAAAAAAGTCCAAAGRTTTTATAAGATGATACAAGAAATGATGTTAACCCTGTAAAACCCAAAAAAGAGCAAAAACATTTTTTCACCTCTTTTATGTTGTTAAGGAATGCCTCTGAAGCAGAAACTGAAAGGTTACCTAATTTTTGATGTTTTAGTAAGTTTTTTATGTATATTGTGTATTTTCAATGAATCTGTCAAACCAAATATACTGACCAACTAAGGGTTGATTTGCACTGTGGGTCACTTACAAAGCTCTRTAGTTATTTAGTCATTTCTTCTAATGAGAAGAAATTTATGACAGTGGTYATAAATTTCATGACTCTAAATTTGTTGGACACAAAAAAAAAACTTTTTGGTAAGGCTAAAAGTGAGGWTGTGATTTTACAACAGTGGGATTTACAGGGTTAAGGAATATTGCACGTTTGAGTAAAGCATAAAATAAAATAAAAAAACTACAAACTAAAATGCACAGATGGAATAAAGCGACAGACGAAAGTTTCACGTTTGGGGATGAGCAAACCTAAAGCATCAGCGTGCAGCGATGTTAGGTAATGGGCCCTTTTGAAGAGATTATCTTTGCTCCTGAGGAAGTGCACTTMTTACTGTGTTGTGCAAGAAAGTAGATTAGAGCATCTGGTAAATTGTTCTTTGCTTTGGCCCTCCTTTTATCTGTTTTAAGCCAGTTTCTCTGTAAGCTCTTTATCTCCATAGTAACATAATGTTTTCTGCTTATTGCTGAATCAGAGATCCGAATTGAAACGTCAATTTGTTTTAAGTTTTAAAAGAGGTTCATCTGCTCACCTGTGTGGGTCGCGGTCTCTTCCAGATCAATCATCCTGCCAGACATGGTTTTAATAAGCTACCTGTGTGACAAAAATACAAATATAGACATTTAAAAAAATTGTTTACAACCAAAATTATGATGGTGTTGCAGCTTCTTGGACAAAATAAAACCAACTTGAGTCTCATGATACCGTATTTAATTAAATCAATGCAGTCTAAGAGGATTACAGAACTGCACCATGAGTCCACTGCTTCAGGTCACCCTTAAAAGCTGCTGTTTACACAGATACACAGCTAATGCACATGCAAATTTGTAGCCTTTTTTTCTTTTGCAGTGTACTTTGGGCATCACGCTGCTGTGTCATTTCTGTAGTGTCATTGTTTAAGCCAGTCGATACTGTGACGTACCCGGAGCCAATACCTGATTGGATTAAGTGGCCTATTTCTAGTAGTCCTCCCCCCGCTTGTAGTCACGATGCTGATCTGGTCTAATGATCTTTATGGACTCTGTCTAGTTCCCAGCTCACTAGATTCAGCATAGCATGAGTAAATCAAACTGGTTTTGCACTGTTTGATAGGCCAGCCACAAACCGGCTGCAAGATCAACCGTGACTAAAATTAGCCTCCAGTGAAACAGCTGTTTGTTCTTTAATTCTGAACACAACATAAACTGGAAATGTTGCTTTTAAAAGCTCTCTGTTCAACATCCAATGTGGCAAAATTACAAGAATGTCAACATTATTAAAGTAAAATCAAGACGTACCCCTCAAAATTAGAGCTTAATGCATTTAAAGATCTTTAAAGTACAATTAAATTTCTCATATTTTAATAAAATATAGACAGAATCAGTCCAGATAAAGTTAATTTGACTTTATAATTAAAATATTAGTATTTCTTACCTTCCACAGTCCCTATAAAGTTCTCTCGTTGTGGCAGCAGTTAACCATGCAGTGGTCTCCTCTCGATCACTTGTCTGAGCTATCTGTTGCTGGACAGTGTGTGTGTGTGTGTTTGTGTGTGTGTGTGTCTTTTCCAGCCAATGAGCTTTGTCTAATGGAGATTTAACAAAAAAGACCCAATAGAACCAAACAGAAATAGAGCATAGATCCTAAGAGGATTTCTCTTCAGGAATTAAAAGCTTCCACTAGATAAAAGCCTTGACTACACACAAGGAAAAACTGAAGAGGTCAAAGCTGAAACTTTGGAGGCAAAACAAATCTTTAACCTATGTATATTTTTTAAAAATCAAGAATAATGCATCACTTCTTCACAAACAGCACACAGGATGTGTTGCGTTTAGTTGTAAACAGCCCAATAAGAGTTCAGTCCAACCCTCAAAGATTAACTTTCAAACTACATGATTTTATCTGTTATACAAAAATTCTTCCAGGCATAAAACCTTACACGACATGAGSGCATGATAGAAACATTTCAAAACACCGCTGGCTACGGACGTGGAACAACTAGTGATGCTCAGTCATGTGCTTTATGATTATTTTCAAAACAAATATCCCATTGTTGTCTCCTTTTGCCTCCTTATATCATTTATTTCCTTATAGGGTTGAAATAAAGATTATTCTAAATATCTTAATGTTCTTGTTTTCACTGAGAAACGCTGATGGAAGAAAAAAAGCAGTTTTACATGTGTGACTTAGACAAACTCAGAATACAAAAGTTAAAAAAAGTTTTGAGATCGCATCATGCAAAATAAAAAAAGTGCATATAGGAAAATGCGATTTGTGTGTCAAAATAATTTGTCACATTTTCAATAAAAGAGTCTGTTAGRTTTTTTTTTACATCCACATCTGAGTTTTTATTTAAAAGCTGAATAAGAGAAGTTAAGAAAAAAAAGGGAACATTACATTAAATTTATTTTTTCAGATGCAAGAGAGTTCAAGCAGGCAGGATATGCATCAGCTGGTATTACACACCGAAGCACACAAATTATAAACTTATGCAGTTTATTCATTGATCAAAAAAATACGTGCACAAAGTAAAACAGGGAAATTACAGAAATATCCTGCGACAAGTTGGGGATAAAATAATCACTTTATCTTGTGTGCATGGGACATTTCATTGATATAAAAGCACATTATAATTGTAATCATTTGTATATAATATTTGTCTCATGTCTCAGTTATATTC